ATTAACGCTAGAACTCCCAGAGCAGTCAATTTGACGGCTTTTAATTATGGAAGCGTAATTACTCTGCTCATGTATTTTTGTGACATTTTGTAGTTTATGTCAATATTTTAGACAGAGCAAGTGCAGAGCAAGTGCTAGTTACCATAGCAACACTCCTTACTAGTAGCAGTTAGCATTAGCATTTCAACACACTGTTTATTTGCTGTTTTGAAAGTTATATTACTACTTATTACCAGTGTGTAAAAACCACATAAATACCTTTTAATAAAACTGCTGGAGAACTAAACATTTATGGAGGGTTTCTAATGTTGTTTGTGTAAAGTACGCTAGCTGATACTTAGCATCTGCCGCTATGTCGTTTTAGCCTTTTACAATACAGGACGTAGTTTGAGGACATTTTTTATTTTCTTTAGATTTAATGTTTGCTTGGACTCAACCAAAGCTGGAATAAAGCACAAGAAAGAACAATTATATATATAGATAGATAGATAGAGAATGAGAGAATGAGAGAGAGAGATAGAGAATGATAAATGGAGAATGAGAGAATGAGAGATAGAGAGATAGAGAATGATAAATGGAGAATGAGAGAATGAGAGATAGAGAGATAGAGAGAGAGAATGAGAGAGAGAGAGAGATGGAGAGGGAGAGGGGTAGAGAGAGAGAGAGATAGAGGGAGAGAGATAGATAGATAGAGATGAATAGCGAGAGATAGAGATGTATGATAGAGAGATAGAGATACAGTAGAGAGATAGAGATACAGTAGATAGATAGAGATACAGTAGATAGATAGAGATACAGTAGATAGATAGAGATACAGTAGATAGATAGAGATACAGTAGATAGATAGAGATACAGTAGATAGATAGAAAGATAGATAGACAGAGAGATAGAGATAGAGAGGGATTGATGGAGAGATAGATAGAGAGGTAGATAGATAGATCTAGAATTCTCTTTCTCTGAATGGGAGCGAGTAGTTTCAGAATTGTTGTGTCCCGGTGTCAAAGGGTGATGTTACGGCGGTGTTTGTACGTTACCAATCTTAACCAGCTGCATCCACTGAACGCCCTTGGTGCCGATGGCGACCATGGAGAAGCCGATGGTTGCCCCGACGATACAATGAGTCCCAGAGATGGGCAGTTTGAGGAAGGAGGCGATGAGCTGCCACACTGCGGAACCTGCGGACCACATTTCACATTCATTAAACCGTTAGAGCAGAGGCGTCACACTCATATTGGTCCCCGGCTGAATCAAAACATAGAAGAGAAAGTATTTTGTGCTCTCATAATATATATTTTTTTACACAATAAAAGGTAATTTCACGTGACTTTTAAGTTACATGAGTTTCACTATTATTTTCTGGTCGATTTGTCTGGACTAAAAGAGGTTGTTTGGATGTAACCAAAACTGGAACAATCATAAAATCAACTAAATGCAAATAACTAATGTATTTGTGTATTGCCCTAAATCACAACAGAAGTCGTCTCTAAGGACTTGTTGTCAATTCACCAAAAACAGATCAGAGAATCGAACAGGAATCACAATAACAACAAACCCATAGGAGCCATTGGTCCATAGGAAGCATGATAGCCACTGTCCAGAAGTTCAAATAAAAAGGCTAATAAATGCTAATAAGCAGAATGATCACTGTCCATAAATGTTAATAAATGTTAATCATTGCCAATACATGATGCAAATTATGCTAATTGTTGCTAATGCTAATTCATGCTAACATATGACAATACATGCTAACAAATGTGAACACATGTTAATACCATAGACTGTAAATATTAACGGAGGTAGTCACGCCTATCTCCGCCGTTCTAACTAATGGGCCAAAAATTGGGCTTTCATGCAGTGATTCAAAAAACCACATTTGCGCATGTGACGAGCTCCATTCATTTAAACGAGTGACTTTGGAATTTCACAGCGACTAAACTAGAATGGTCCAAAACACCCCCCTCAGCATTGACACACATGTGGAACGGAGCTTTGGGCCAAGAGCCAACTTTTGGACCATCCTGTAAAGACGTTTGAGAGGTCTGCTAAGGCTATATGTTAGCATTGGCTAATTCTTATACCGAGTCCACCCCCATTGGCCCGGGGTGGTATTGCAGCATGTCAGCGCACGTCATTTTGGCCACAGTTTAGCTGGGACCCGCCCCCACTGCAGTAGACGCAGGATGACCACTCTCCATAAATGTTAATAATTGCTAATACATGTTAGAGATCAATAAAGTCTATCTTATTTTATCTTACATCTTAATAAATGCTAATAAATGTCCAAATGATATTGTGGATATATTTATTTATTTAGACTTTATTAAGGACTCACATGCAAGCACAGGATCCATAGCTAAGAATAAAGAAAGAAAAGTTTGGCATCGTACCATTTAAGAGATTCGTTTGTTCTTTTTTAGATATTGTTACAACCCTAGTACTCACAGGTGTCAGGGGTGCCCAAACTTTAACAACCCAAGATGCAGTTTTCTATCCAGCGTTCAATAATGCAACGCAACCGAATCCTCATCGTTCTAACACATCCTTTGGTCTCTTTGTCTTTAATGAACAAAGGTCGACCTCCATTGTGTTTGTCCTGATATAGAACGGGTTTTTCCAGTTGACTTTAGTCGATGATAAGCTATTTATAACCCGTCATTAAAATATATAAAGTCAGCTGCTGTTTACAAGGAACAGGGAGGAAATAAGACACTAAATTGGAATGAATAAGTTACCGTGGGTTACCAGTGCTGTGTGGTCCATTCAATGTTTTTGTGTACAGGCTGAGGCTTTAGATCCAGGACTGAGGCTGTAGACCCGGGACTCAGGCTGTAGACCCAGGACTGAGGCTGTAGACCCAGGACTGAGGCTGTAGACCCAGGACCGAGGCTGTAGACCCAGGACCGAGGCTGTAGACCCAGGACTGAGGCTGTAGATCCAGGACTGAGGCTGTAGACCCAGGACTGAGGCTGTAGATCCAGGACTGAGGCTGTAGATCCAGGACTGAGGCTGTAGACCCAGGACTGAGACTGTAGATCCAGGACTGAGGCTGTAGACCCAGGACTGAGGCTGTAGACCCAGGACCGAGGCTGTAGACCCAGGACTGAGGCTATAGACCCAGGACTGAGGCTATAGACCCAGGACTGAGGCTATAGACCCAGGACTGAGGCTGTAGACCCAGGACTGAGGCTGTAGATCCAAGACTGAGGCTGTAGACCCAGGACTGAGGCTGTAGATCCAAGACTGAGGCTGTAGACCAATTACAATTGCAATTACAGCTCCAGAGTTTAATCTTTCCATTTTATTATTCTATTGTGTTATCTGTTATCTTAAATACTAGATCCTGTTTGATGTGTGTGACCCGAGTCCTCTCATTCCCTCCTTTTATTCTGCTGTAATGTGCTAAGATCATATCGAAACTTCCCCACCGTTGGACCAATCAAGACTTATCCTATCTCTATAATGACAAAGACTTATTTCTTTGACACGGGGAGAATATGCAAACTCCACACAGAAAGACACTGCACCATCGAGTTGACTTCATGCAGTATTTCTTCCATGGTCAAAATCGCCAAATCTATTTCATATTCAAATGCAAAAAAAAGTATTAGTGCCTCCTCATGGGTCCGCCGGGTCTGACCGTCCAATCACCAGCTACAATAAAAACAATTCTAATGCTTTGTCTAGAGTTTTTCTGGGTTGAAATAGTCTAAATCGCAATCAAATGCAGCTTCTGTAACTTTTCACCGGATTTGTAAAACGCTGCTTCAGCATTTCTCACTGCAGAATCTCACAGACGCGGCTGAAATAAGTTTTTGCTGCAATTTTCTGTTTGGCAAAAGGAGAAAGCACTTGATGGATGAAGCCGGAAAGAAACGCAGAGAATGTTTGTGAGGAAAGAGCTGAGGTAACCCGAGTCCTGGGTCTACAGCATCAGTCCTGGGTCTACAGCCTCAGTCCTGGGTCTACAGCCTCAGTCCTGGGTCTACAGCCTCAGTCCTGGGTCTACAGCCTCAGTCCTGGGTCTACAGCCTCAGTCCTGGGTCTACAGCCTCAGTCCTGGTTCTACAGCCTCAGTCCTGGATCTACAGCCTCAGTCCTTGATCTACAGCCTCAGTCCTGGGTCTACAGCCTCAGTCCTGGTTCTACAGCCTCACAGGGGTTCCTTGCTGAAGCACTTAGAGTTACCTTGTGTTAATGAATTGTGCTATACAAATAACCTTGCCTTTTCTTGCCCTCCCTTGTCTTGCTGATGCAGGAGGGTCTAAGGACAGGGATGATCTGGGACATTTACGGACATTCATTAATTGCCAAATTTGGTCATTAAATGCTGCTTTCTAAAAATAGCAACACATATATTTACACAGGGTCTTAAAGAAGATTCTCCAACGAGTCAAAGCGTGTTTAGTCTTACATCAAGAACTGCTGATTTATTTTCTTATTCCAAGTCAGACATTTCTTTTATCTTTTTAAAACCAGAAAATTTAGCTTTGTCAGATTGGAAAATCTAGTTTTAAGGCAGTGAGAATGTGCTCAAATTAAAGATAGATTTTGCCAAAATGTGATACATTTTTGACTGACCTTTTTTTTTTCTTTTTTTTAACTGTTTTCATAACTTTTTTGTAGTGCAGTAGCATAAAGTGACATTAGCATAAATCAAGGAAGCATAAAGAGATGGTAGCATAAATGACAGTAGCATAAAGTAACGGTCTTAAAGGGATCACAGATTAGTTTTCGACAGAAGGGGCGGAGCTACAAGTTTGCGCCCGACCTTCCCACCATCAGCCTGTACGGACCTAAACCACTATTTCATCTATCTGCAATATTAGGATTTTGACTGTAGTCTGTTCAGTGCTATTCACCCGTTGTCCCATTATCTGTTTCATGGTGCCACAACGGGCCACCTCCTCCATCTACACTTGCGGACTGCCCTGCCCGACCCGCCAGGGAGTGCTTCAGTCCTGCACCGGACCTGTCCACGTTCTGCGGCCGCGGTGTGGCATTGGTCCTTGTTCTACAGTCTGAGTCCTGGGTCTACAGCCCGTCCGTCCATGTGGAGCAGATCCCTCTCTCAATATGTGGATCTCTCCGAGGTTTCTCACTTTTCTCCCACTGGGTTTTAGAATTTTTCCTCTGATGCAGGAGTCTGTTGGACTGTGATGATCCAGGACACTTTAACATTCTACAACATGTGAGACATTTATAAACATGTATGACATTTATCAACATGTATGACATTTATCAACATGTATGACATTTATAAACATGTATGACATTTATCAACATGTATGACATTTATCAACATGTATGACATTTATCAACATGTATGACATTTATCAACATGTGTGACATTTATCAACATGTGAGACATTTATCAACATGTGAGACATTTATCAACATGTATGACATTTATCAACATGTATGACTATTTATCAACATGTATGACATTTATCAACATGTATGACATTTATCAACATGTGTGACATTTATCAACTTGTGAGGACATTTATCATGTGTGACATTTATCAACATGTAATGACATTTATCAACATGTGTGACATTTATCACATGTGAGACATTTATCAACATGTATGACATTTATCAACATGTATGACATTTATCACATGTGTGACATTTATCACATGTGTGACATTTATCAACATGTATGACATTTATCACATGTATGACATTTATCAACATGTATGACATTTATCACATGTATGACATTTATCAACATGTGTGACATTTATCACATGTATGACATTTATCACATGTGTGACATTTATCACATGTATGACATTTATCAACATGTGTGACATTTATCAACATGTGTGACATTTATCACATGTGTGACATTTATCAACATGTGTGACATTTATCACATGTATGACATTTATCACATGTATGACATTTATCACATGTGTGACATTTATCACATTTATCACATGTATGACATTTATCACATGTATGACATTTATCACATGTGTGACATTTATCAACATGTGTGACATTTATCACATGTATGACATTTATCACATGTATGACATTTATCAACATGTATGACATTTATCACATGTATGACATTTATCAACATGTATGACATTTATCACATGTGTGACATTTATCAACATGTGTGACATTTATCACATGTGAGACATTTATCAACATGTTTTATCAACATGTATGACATTTATCAACATGTGTGACATTTATCAACATGTATGACATTTATCAACATGTATGACATTTATCAACATGTATGACATTTATCAACATGTATGACATTTATCAACATGTATGACATTTATCAACATGTATGACATTTATCAACATGTTATGACATTTATCAACATGTATGACATTTATCAACATGTGAGACATTTATCAACATGTGTGACATTTATCAACATGTATGACATTTATCAACATGTGTGACATTTATCAACATGTGAGACATTTATCAACATGTATGACATTTATCAACATGTGAGACATTCTACAACATGTGTGACATTTATCAACATGTGAGACATTTATCAACATGTATGACATTTATCAACATGTGTGACATTTATCAACATGTGAGACATTTATCAACATGTATGACATTTATCAACATGTGTGACATTTATCAACATGTATGACATTTATCAACATGTGTGACATTTATCAACATGTATGACATTTATCAACATGTGTGACATTTATCAACATGTGAGACATTTATCAACATGTATGACATTTATCAACATGTGTGACATTTATCAACATGTGAGACATTTATCAACATGTGAGACATTTATCAACATGTGAGACATTTATCAACATGTATGACATTTATCAACATGTATGACATTTATCAACATGTGAGACATTTATCAACATGTATGACATTTATCAACATGTATGACATTTATCAACATGTGTGACATTTATCAACATGTGAGACATTTATCAACATGTATGACATTTATCAACATGTATGACATTTATCAACATGTGTGACATTTATCAACATGTGTTCTATATTCTTTTTTGTGTCTTAACTGTTGATTCTCTGATCTGTGTTGGTGATTTCAATGGTTTTGTTGAGATGATGCTGTTGTGATTTAGGGCGTATTGTATCGTATTGTATTGTATCGTATTGTATTGTATCGTATCGTATCGTATCGTATCGTATCGTAAGCACATCTCCGGCTCGTGCGCAGACTCACCGACCATGGCGCTGACCTCGCCCGCCATCAGCACCGGCACCGTCTCGTTGTACAGGTTGACGTCGATGATGCCTTTCCGGATGGTCTCCCCGACTTTGGCCCCCAGCAGCATGGAGCCCAAGGTCTCGAAGATGGAGGCCAGGATGCAAGCCTGCTTCAGGGTCACCACCCCGGACCCCACCGCCGTCCCGAACGAGTTAGCTACGTCGTTAGCCCCCACCGAGAAGGCTAGCACGAAGGCGATGATGAAGCCAACGATGACCATCCATAAATACGGCTCCAGATCCATTTTGTCGATTTATATACGAAAATAAAGCCAAGGGGGAAAAAACAGCTCCAAAAATATATATATATAAACAAAACTCCAAAATTCAAGTGCTGTGTGCTTGACCGGCTCCTGGTCTGGTCCCCTGGTTGTCGAGAGTTCGAGGGGAGTAGCACGGATGCTAACTAAACAGGAGCAGGTCAGTCCAAAGATGGCAGAGGGAGGGGTTCTGCAGAGAGAATTCCATATTTTAGAGCGAGACAGCCGAGCCAGACGATCCCTCACCTGCAACACACACAGAGCACGGAGATTAGAAGCATGGCTAACCGCAATCGACACGCCGAGAAGAAGCATGGCTAACAGCAGTGAGTCCATAAACGAATGAGGAAAACAAGGTCTGGGATTGTGCTTTAGCAGAAGACTTGTGTTATTGTTCATTCACGGCATAAACGACTCGAGTGCAGCTAACCACAGTTAATTAACACACTTAGACGCATGGCTAACCACAGTTAATCAACAAATAAACACAAAGACCACATTAAACTAAACTTATAGTATGGTGAATGACAATTAATAATACTATGAATTGACCTAATTATTTAATGAACTTAGAAGCATGGCTAATCACAATGAATAAACAAAATTAGAGGCCGGCTAACTACAATGCATCAACGCAGTTGGAAGCATGGCTAACCACGAGGAACGATCATACTTCAGAATCAGACTTATTTTTATGGCCATTGTTATTAACTGTAAGTCACAAACTCGGAATTTGCTTTGAAGCATGGCTAACCACAATAATATAATACGCATAGAAGCATGGTAAACCACGATTCAATGATAAACTTAGAAGCATGGCTAACCACAAATAATGATCACACTCCACAATCAGAATTATTTTTATGGCCATTGTTATTAACCCGGAAGTCACAAACTCGGTAATTGCTTTGAAACATGGTTAACCACAATGAATGAACACTCTTAGAAGCATGGCTAACCACGATTCAATGATAAACATAGAAGCATGGCTAACCACAAAAAATGATCACACTTCACAATCAGAATTATTTTTATGGCCAATTATGTTTTTTGAAGCATGGTTAACCACAATGAATGAACACACTTAGAAGCATGGCTAACCACAGTTTAAAATGTCCAACGGTAGAAGCAGAAACAAGACTTTTTACACAAGATGCGACCGGATACACCCCGGATACAAGAACACGTCTTCACACCGACTCTAAATCAATGACCAGGAGGTTGTTGAGGAACACTATAGATCAGTCGACAACAGTTCAATTTCACCTCGAGACTGGGCCCGTCTGTGTCCCTGTGTCCGGGTAGTTTCCCTCCAGGTGCTACGGTGTTCCCCCGCATGTAGGTATGAATGTAATGAGTGTGTGAAGGGTGGAGATGGCTGGAGGCCGCTCGGTCTGTTAAATACATTTGATAAATAGAGAGGTCTAATAAATAAATACAGTGGTCCTAGCACTACACTGCAGCAGAGGGGGGGGGGGGGGGGCTCTCTATATTTCACCGTTTATTTGACACAATCACAAACATGTAAAGCTTTAATACCTTCATCAAAAACACTAATAGATATTGTCGGGGGAAAAAACTACTGTCGTTTTCATTATAGGTTTACCTCAACTAATACGACTATTCTTGGGTTTCATTAAACTGGCCAGTAGGGGGCGAATGAGCAGAGGTGACAACTCAGTTCTGCTCCCATTGAAAACCATGTAAAGTCTGTTTTGGAGTCAAAAGGCTCTCCTCCTGTAAGGGAATACTAATAATATTTCTCAAAAGAGTCTTGATTTTTGGCATTTTTGGAAAAGAAAAACAGAAGAAATTGCTGCGTTTCATTGAGGTGGCCTGCTGGGGGCGCTTATCTGGGAAAGCCTTGATCCACCTCGCCCGCCTCATTCCAGTGATTTGTTCAAAGTGTCCTCCTTTATATGAGACCAGTTTTAACATGAACAAACTCTTGTCTTTCTCTCTATTTGTGCAGTTGCTACAAGCGTACACCGCACAAAAAGATGGCAGTTTGACAGAGCTTCTTCTTCTACTATATCTCTGTGTATAAACCCGGCAGACTGCAGCGCCAGGATACGTCACGTCATGTCCCACGCTTGTTATTCGCGCCACTGCCCTGAAGTCATATGGAACCAAAGAATTACAACTATTAAGTATTTAGTCAATAACAAAAGGTAATATCTCAATACTCTTTCTTTTTCACTCTATACTGTATTGTATTGTGTCCTTAATAAAGATGAAAAAAAATAAAAATAATTAACACTATTACATGCCCATGGCCCGTGGTGCTCTGTGTACTGGGTGCAGCTCTGACTGCCACCCCCCCCGACCCAGAAATGGATTAAGGGGAAGAAAATGGATGGATGGATGGACATGCCCATTATAGGAAAGTCCTACCGTTATAACCCTTGTGCTACAGATCAAGAAAATAGCGTCAGTTAGGGATTGAATGTCCCCGGGCTGCTCAAGTTCAGGATTATCATCAAGATTTAGCTGAAATTTAAGGTATTTTTTAATTTACCTTAAACACAGTTGGAGGCTGAATAAATACCTTTTTGTCCTACTGTACTTGTAATACGGAGCCCTGTGAGTCACTATTTGACTCTGTGAGCTGATTGGTTGATCCAAAGACGAGACGGAGGCCAGAAATACACACACGTGAAAGGGACAAGTTAGATTTTATGACGTAGCTCATTTTTTTGCAGATTGAAATGTTACGTAATGCAGCTTTAAATGAAAATGGGTCAAACTCCTCAGCTGCTGACAGGTTATTCCACATCATCATCTACTGTAGAGAGCAAGAGCCCGACAACCAAAGCTCATTCTACAACCGTGGTCTCCAACACGCGGCCCACGGGTCATTTGCGGCCGGAGAAAAGATATTATGCGGCCCCCTAGTCTGGGCAAATATGGGATTTTATAAAAGTTAGTAAGTTAATTTGATCAAAAAAACAACCACAGTAATTATTTTAGCGTCAACGTTGAAGTAAACTTTATTAAACCCAGTCGACATTACAAAGCTTCACTGTTTTTTGTCCAGTTTTTTTTCAATCCAAGTCGGACTCATAGAAATATGTTAAGGGCGGCACGGTGGCTGAGTGGTTAGCACTCTCGATTCTCAGCGAGAAGGTCCTGGGTTAGAATCCCAGTCGAAACACAGCCTTTCTGAGTGGAGTTTGCATGGTCACCCCGTGTCTGCGTAGGTTTCCTCCGGGTGATACGGTTTCCCCTACCACTAAAACATGTACAATAGGTATGAATGTAAATGAGTGAATGGATGGTGTTGATTGGAGAGAGACCAGAGAGAGACCAGAGAGAGAGAGGCCAGAGAGAGAGACCAGAGAGAGAGACCAGAGAGAGGGACCAGAGAGAGGGACCAGAGAGAGAGAGGCCAGAGAGAAAGACCAGAGAGAGACCAGAGAGAGACCAGAGATAGAGACCAGAGATAGAGGCCAGAGAGAGAGAGGCCAGAGAGAGAGAGACCAGAGAGAAAGACCAGAGAGAGACCAGAGAGAGACCAGAGAGAGACCAGAGAGAGACCAGAGAGAGAGAGACCAGAGAGAGAGACCAGAGAGAGAGAGACCAGAGAGAGGGACCAGAGAAAGACCAGAGAGAGAGACCAGAAAGACCAGAGAGAGAGACCAGAGAGAGAGAGACCAGAGAAAGACCAGAGAGAGAGACCAGAGAGAGAGAGACCAGAGAAAGACCAGAGAGAGAGACCAGAGAGAGAGACCAGAGAAAGACCAGAGAGAGAGACCAGAAAGACCAGAGAAAGACCAGAGAGAGAGACCAGAGAGAGAGACCAGAGAAAGACCAGAGAGAGATACGTATCAGAAAAATCTCACTCAAAACAAATGAAAGTACATTTTAGATATTTTTTTTGTCAGTTTTGGCTTTTCCTAAGAGTTCTCTCATTCCTTCTAAGCCTTCAATCTCTAACATTTGGAACCGTTGCGGCAGAGGTGGGACAAAGTCATTGTTTAGCAAGTCACAAGTCAGTCTCAATTCATTGCCCTCAAGTCCCGAGTCAAGTCACGAGTCAAGACAGGCAAGTCCCGAGTCGAGTCCAAGTCAAAGGCCAACAAATCTCAAGTCAGTCCCAAGTCCTACGGTTTGACTTTCGAGTCCTCTCGAGTCTTTTTGACCGCGATTTGTTTCTTGTTGGTCTCCAAGTACTTTTGTAGGCAAACAAAATAATGTTAGGAATCATTTTGCTGGTGCATTCTCGTTGGTCTCTGACCCATGGACTAACAGTTTGTTCCATAGTGGTTATTGTTCCAAAGGACTGAAGGGACCAATGGAGGGGAAGGAACCTGGCCTGTATGAACTGGGCCAGCATTAGTAATATCTCATAATTACCAATATATCATTACATAATAAAATGTCTCATATAAATTAATTCAATCAGTCAAAGTACTGATTCTCATATCAATGAACCATAAACAATAGTGCAAATATTAATCTAGCTTAGTGCACATAATCAAAACAACTATCTAATGTATGCAAACTTTAGCAGGAGGAGCACAGCAAAAACATACTCATAATAATAGGCCTCGGCGCCCACACAGAAAAATATAAGAAAGAGCCAACAGAGCAGCGCAGGCTAGCGCTAGTTTGACTCACCAGTTCCTCTTTAAAACACGGCACACAGTGTGACAACTGCGTCGATTCAATTGTATGAGGCGCCTGTAGTGAAAGCATATAATTACGGTTTGTAGAACAAAATATGACGTTAGGTCGCGATAAATACCTGCAGCTCGCTCATTTCCAGCTCCCCTACGACAACACACCCACCGGTGAATGCAGTCCGCTTGTTTAGGGAAGTGTTGCTGCGCGAACTGCGGGGAACTCACGTTCGAACTCTCGCGCGAGCGCTACAACTACCGCGAGGCTTTGTTTCTTCAGAGACGGCAGGCCTGTCGCAAGGGGGGTGCGAGGCCCTGTGCGAACTTGAAACGCGAGGCCCTGCCCTGACACCTTTTTCCCAG